AATAATTCAAAAAAAAAAAAAATGTGTGTATATTTTGTAAAGTATTTATACACTATTTAATTTCAAATCCATTTACATATTTTAAATTGATTACATAAATAAATAATACTAACGTGCATTATATAAATTTTTATATATAAATTGATTACATATTTTGAAATGAATGGTTTGGAGAAAGGGAATAAAAATATTTTGTCTCCAATGGTTAATGTCAATTGTGGAATAATTTGACACATGTAAGATAATAATTGGTTAGTGAAGAAAAAAATATTTAGACATGTTCTATTTTATATTATATCATATATTTTATATATTTTTCTACATATAGAAAGACTTCTACATTTTTTAAATGCCACATTGGATATTTAGAGCTAGGTGGCAATGAAATAGAGCAATCCATTTACAATTGGAGATGCTCTAAAACTGTTACTTTCTCTTATATCAATGAATATATACACTAAAATAAAATTTATGTTACTATAAATGTGTTAGTAAGATAATATATTAATTATTTTACAAGTTATCTCTAACATGCTCATTTTAAAGTTCTGCTTAAAAAAACGTCGATTAAAAGAGGTGGAAATGGATTACAATCCTATTGTTTAAAAGAGGTGGAATATAAATTATAATCCTACTGTTTTCTACACTTAACGCTGATTAAAGAGGTGAAAAATAAATGATAACTCTATTGCTTATTAGATTTAAACGGACATAGCATGTGAAAATTACTCATTTAATACATTCCTCCCGTTCATCTCACGGGGTACGTACTAGTATACATAAAACTGAAAGTTATAAAAGCATATCGACATGTCAAATTAATTTGAAAAAATGATTTAGTTAACAATTTTACCTCCATAAAGCCGAACTTATATGGAATAGTTCTAAATCCTTTTCCAGACAGTTTTGGAAATTGAGTTTAGACAGTCAACCATTTTCAGATCAATCTTGGGAGGTTTCTAACTTTCGAACCCAACTCGCCTGCTCACCACTGTCCTGAAAACTTTCGGTTTGATTTAAGGATAATTTCTAAGGGTGTGTTTGTATATCAAATATTTCAATTTATATTCAATTTATACTCAAAATCTAACACAACTTTAACTCAACTCTACTATCTAAATATTATCAATATAATTAAATAATACTAATCAATCATTCTTACACATCACATCAACTTTGATTAACAAAAAAACCTCATTTTGAGCGAATATATTTATATACAAACACACCAACTTCTGAACCAAACTGGCCTGCTCACCCTAATGTCCTATAGACTCTCTCTACGAGGCGCACATCCAGCAGTTTCTTATTTATTTTTCAAAAATAATTTTCAATACCTTTCTTGGGACATTCCTTAAAATTATACACTGGAGTTACAATACAAATTAACAAAAACAATGAAAATTCATGGAATGAAAACATGGCTTTTGAAGATGTGATGAAATAGTAAGTGGGAATGTTAAAAGGACAACAAAGTTTTTCCAAAAAAATCAGCCTGCTTTTGAAGTTCTGCCTACTGGTGGCAATACAACCAAATCAAGGTTCCCAGGATAAGGTGTCCACAAACCTAATCCTCCCCTGCTTTCTATCAAATCGGGGTGCTTTTTCAGTTCTGCTATAGTTTTTGCCCATTCAATTTTGGATGAGTGCTCTCGATTATGTGGATGCAGCACAAAGATCGAGTTGTACTCACAATTATGAAACATAAAAAATTTGAACAGATCTCCTAACCTATAGACGACATATCCGAAGCTTAGTTGGTCTCTTGGTGTAAAGAGGTGAACCTCGTTGAACCACAGGCAGCTAAACAGATTATTTAACGCGGTATGTTCGCGTATGATGATTGCTCCTTCAGGCACATCTGCATTAACAATAACAATAAGACGAAATGAAATATTATTGTCTAGCAGCAAAGAACAATCGCCAGTCATTTTTAATTTGCAATTTGCAGTGTAACTCTACTTTTGAGGAGTTGTAGTAGAAATGAGACTTAGTTGCCAACAGAAAGTTCTTTGCGTTTGGAAAAAGAAAAGTAAAGCTAACACAATCAAAGTTGGGATGCTTGGGGCTCAAAAACAGAACAAATGAAAAAAGCAGTTATCGAATGAGTTTTTGTTTGGATAGAAAGATAAATTAACAGTGTCCATTGCAAATGGAGCTGGAAGAGTCATTGTTGACAATTCTCCTGGCATTGTGCTAATAATGGACTAGATCAAAATGGCTCTATTAAATTCTAGTGCTTCTTCTATTAGTGAAGTTTCTAGGAAAAAAAATATATCAAACGGCACAATGCACCTTGGGTCGCTACGGAAACAGCCTCCTTGTATAATTACAAGGGTAAGGTCTGCGTACAACTGACCCCCCAGACCCCAACCTGTTGGGAATATACTGGGTATGTTGTTGTTGTTGTTGTTGTAGAAAGATAAATTAACAAATATTAAATAGCAAACATGTAAAACTAAACTTCTCTTTATTCACAGATCTAAAAGCAGTTCTATAAAATTATAAGCACCTCAAGCAGAAGAAAAAGAAAAGAAAAGCAAAAGTTGCCAATTAAAATTGAAATTTTTTAATGTTTTTTTTTTTTTAATTTTCTTCCCTTTGGCAGAAGTGATTTTTTCTCAGAAAGAGATCCGAACACCCCTAAGTAGTCAGGGTCACGAGGAAGAATATTATGCTGCTACCAAATGAGTCTTTAAACAGTGGTGTACAGATAATGAATAGCACGAACAAGTAGAAACATAGATTGGGAAAATTGCCAATCTTACCACTCAAGGTGTTTCCATACTGATTCCATGCCTCCAATCCCTCATAACGATATATTTTCATGTGTAGATCAATTAGCGGGCGAGCATAACGTTTTCTCCGTTTGTTTGAATCAGCCTCCTCATATATACTTTTGTGATGTTTGTGCTGAGCAATCGCAAAGGTGTTCTTCTCACGCCATAAGTATCTGTACGTTAAAAGATCATAAAAACAAATTCGTTTTTCTTCAGTTGATCATCATGTTTGAAGATGTTGACGTAAAAAAATACTGTGTAATTAAAGCATCATAACTTCATGCCAAACAAAGAGCGTGCACGTCAAATTAATCTATAAGGTTGTAGAACATTTTTACAACCTATATTTCTGATATTAGTAGCTAGAGATCAGCTGAGGAAGTAGACAGACTGTCTCATTAAAATTAGAATATTTGCAATACTTTCAACTCAAATTAAGATACTGGGAGGGTGCTCTGAAGTAGAAAGCATGAAAAAAAAAGGATGGCAGGATTGCAAAACTACACGTGAAGCTTGATCATCCTTAATACTTTATCCTTTAATAAGCAAACAACATTTTATTCATAAATCTCTTACAGTTAGCCTCAAATTCAAGACACCATCAAACTGGAATTAAAAAAAAAAACAAAAAACAAAAACAAAAACAAAAAAAGACAAAATTAAGTATCTCCGCTTCTCTTTTGCAAATATCTCAAAACCATAAGAGTAGTTTTTGTAATTATCCTATTTAAATGATATATCATATTTACCTCTCTAATAGAAGCAATGGGTCCACTATAAGCTGCATTTTACCATCAATCCAGATGCTGTACTCGGCTTGAGGAAACAATCTATGTGTCAATATCTTTGGAACCTTCCCATTTCTTCTAGGTTCATCATAAGGCTGGTTCTTCAGTGGAATTAAACGCCAGATACCCACCCACTGCCCTCCTTGAGAATCTTCTCTCACACTAACATTCTCTTTGATGAATTTGAGAGACACTTCATCAACCACCATTAGAAAACAGAACAGAGACTCTGAACGTTTACTGATATTGGATGGCTGGTGAGGTGAGTCATAAGCATCAAAAATGCCAGTCGCAACAACAAATTTACATTTTTTTACGTATTCAATATCCCGGGGTTCCATCTCCTCTCCTCCGCCTCTCATAAACCCACAGTGCACCTAAAGGGTATATTACATCTCGAGCAGATTAGTATCAAATATAAACTACATCTAGTCTATAACAAACTACGTGCTTTGTGGATCACTAGAAGTGCAAAAAAATCTGTCCTCGTTTTATTCAACTTCTTACCCTTATGTTCAGATGAGAAAACTGATAATTGGAGCATATTTTTCTAATTAATCAGTTTATGATTGTGTAGCTTAAATATATGAATACCAATTTCTAAATTTAAAATACATTACTGTTTTCAGCAAGCATTCTATTATCCTACACCAACCATTAATTTACAGAGAAACACTTGGCATGTTTTTGAAATTATTATCTATGAATAAATACAGAAAATTATCACTTAAGAACACTATGACAAAGGCGGGGTATTTCAGTTGTCATTTTAAATCTATATATATATATATAATTGCTAGCAAGCTTCAATAAATTTTATTCAGCCACAATTAATAATAATATGAGTTCATTTAATTAAAACAGATGTTCATTTAATAAAAATATGTTCAACATTTAATAAAAATCTTTATGACTACCATTCAAATGACAGTTACACAAGTAAAACCTTATTATTATTAATTTTTTATTCTGTAACAACTTTACAAGATTTTATATTTTCCTAATATATAATATTAAATTATATTTTTACTAATATTCCTATTTTCTATTATAATTATACAATAACAAAAAAAAAAATGATTTATATGGAAGTTAAATAATTTATATTTATATTATACATTTACATATAGTCAAAATTTTAATATGTAATACACACTTTATCTAATTTAAATTTTTAAATATCACATACGTTCATATAATATAAAAAATTATTTCCCTCTGTGCATGTGCACAGGATCAAATACTAGTATAATATTCAAAAGCAATCACTAAAGACGAGAAAACAAAGATCGTGTTCACACAAGAGCAGCCATAGTACCTTCATCGTTGGCTTGAGTTTAAAGCTTTCTTCTCTCTGTTGCCAAGTTGGGTGGCCGCCAAAGAGAGGAGACGAGTGAGATCCATTGGTTGCATCACTATCTTCAGTAAAATATGACAGCGTTTGTACTAATCTTTCCGGTGTTCTCTTCTTAGGAATGACTACTTTGTTTGGGTCATCAAGAACAGGAATAGGACAACCTAATATGTAATAGATTAGACAGTGTTTCCTAATCATCAATCAAGTTGGCGGGCTGAGAAAGGGAGAGAGAATAAAATGCTTAAAGGGAAACTCTCGATTCTTACGATGAGGTGGTGTCACGAGTCCCATTGTGTTTAACACGCCATAGACCTTGCTATCTTTGTTACAAAGAGCTGCAGATCAAAAGAAATGGTTTGAGTTAATGGTAAAAATCAAGTCCCTGTTGGGAAAGAAAATTAGTAGGATGTTTCGAGACTGTGACCACATATCGTGAAATGAGCATTCCAACTTCTAATTACAGCATATAAGAACAGATGTACCTGTTTAATTTCATAAAATTCCACCTATGAAATATACAAGACAAGAGAAGCATTTTTCACATAGATACACGTAAAAGCTGAACAGGCACACCAGATCCTGATGACACCAACTTCAATATTTTGTGTATTGTTCTTCAAATCACAAATTTTCCATAGGTACTCCCCAGGTAAAAAATAAAAATTCAAAATAAAATTGTACTGTTTCTGGTTGTACACTGGAATAACGACCAGAACGTAAGCAAGGATAACAGTTACTACAAGATTTTACATTTAGATATTATCCATCCCCTGATTCAGAAACTACACCAATAGTAAGGCAAACGTCAAAGAAGCCAAAGGAAGACATATTTTCACACTTTCTGCAAAAATTCACAATAGCATTAAACAAACACACTTTTAGGGGAAATCATCACAGAAACTGATAATATTTCACTGAAAAAGTCGCAATTGAGATTCGAAAACAACAATCAGAAATTCACATCAAAACAAGAGTCTATGCATAAAAATACTGGGCAAAGATGGGCAGAAAACTGGTAATTACCTGAAAAGAAGGCAACAGAAGATTGGCAAGACCATATATGAAACAACAAAACGGTGAGAATTAACAACATCCAGATGATCCCTCCCGTAAGAATCAACCGAATGAAACCCCTTTTCCATATAATCTTCATCGCAATTTCTTGGGTCAATTTCCCACTGTACAACAATCCCGCTTCACTATCTGCATTCATGTTCTTGATTTTTTTAACCAAAACCCTCAAAATAAACAACACATGTGATGATGCTGAAGGAAACGAGAATATGTTTTCGTACCTTTCACTTGCTGGTGTTGATTTCTTCGGGCAGACCGAGAAGAAACGGACCGGTGGAAATCACTTTCCATTGTATTAAAGCCTCAGTTGAGAAAGGGTTGAGCTTTGTTTCTCACAAAATCAATAAAAAATGTGTTCAGAAGAAGGAGGTGGGTGATGAATGGGTTACAAAGATCTGATGCGGGAATCGATTGAAACTTGAAAGAGGCATGAGTGTATCAGTCTATCAGATCTCTTTAATATGTAAGCAAATTAGACATGGCCACGGGCCGAACGGGCCCGTGGCCCGGACCGCGAACCGGTACCGAACCGGCCCGGACCGGCCCGTAACCGGCCATATTCGGGCCAGTCCGTTGGACCGAACCGCAAGGGCCGCGGTTCGGTCCAGGTTCCAAAAA